TTTCAAAGCTTCTTATTTTAACTGTAGAAATGTTCAGAGAGTTTTTAAGTGCGTTTTTGTCCTTATTTCAATATTACTGTTTCAGTGCCGCTCCTTCTTTTGAATTTCAATGTAATTTTCTTTGGATCAGTATTAGTGTTTATTTACATTTTTAAAGTCACATCTGCAAGAATACGACTTGAGCATCTAAAGAATTTTACCTTTCAAACAATTATAACATGAAGAAGACTTTCAAACTTATGCAATTTTTTGTATTTTATTGTGTGTTCGCCTTGGTTCCTTTGTCTTCCATCTCAAAAACCCTTTGCCTCCAGAGTTAAGCATCGAGTTCTCAGTAGTTCATCATTTTCAGATTGTGGGTAGCGCATCATATGGTGAACGCTGAAGAAACACGTGTTGCCTTTTCTGGACTTATTGAAAAGCCTCCGCTTACTGATCAGCTTCTTGCTCGGCCTCCTTTCAAGTTTATTCTCGACGTTGTTTCATCCACCATTTCTAAGACTGGCTACTTGAAGGTAAGTGAAGCTATAACTTTTTGGTTTCTGATTGCAAAACAATTCTAAGCTGACAGTGTAAAAAAGTTACGTAAATGGAGTGTTCATAGTTATTGAACTGTCCACTAACACAATCCACTCAACACTTCAGGATAAGTTCACCTCCGATGACCTCAATCCAGCAAAGTTGAATGATAAAGCAGCTAAAATGGCGTTTCTGGACTCCTTAATCCAGGCACTTAACGATGGCTCGTTAGATGAAGTGAAATCATCTAAAATTGTAGCAGGGAAGGAACCGGAGTTAACAAACCTGGTAATTTTCAATGATTTATTTTTATTCTGAGCGGAAATGCTTTGTTTACTTGAAGAATCCCTTATGAACGTGAACTCATTGCAGATGCTGATCAGGTTGGCTGAAGGAGCTCGTGAGTACAGGAAGAGCAGGAAATCTAGTAAAAAATCCCATCACGACGAAGATGCTGAAAAGACGTCTAAATCAAAGCATCGCTCAAAAAGTAAGGAGCCTAAAGAGGAGAAGACGAAGAGTCGATCTAGCAGTAAGGTATGTCTGTTTGTCAAACAAAAGATAATTTATGCAACTCTGATTTTTGAAGTGTCAGTTTTTTGAGTTACAGTTCTAAAGTTTTGGAGCAAATCCGATAAGTCAGATCCCCGTATACTTTTTAAGATATCCATTTCATCAATTCGTATGCAAATGCTCTTTTTAATCTATTGCAAGTAACCATTGACCCTGCGAATGTAATTCAAGGGTTGAAAATGTTTAGAAGATGAGAATTCTGATGATTTTAGCATCGGGAAGAAAAAGAGAGAGATGAGAGGAAGGAAGAAAAAAAGGAGAAGAAAAGCTCGAAGGATAAGGAAGGTCACCACAAGAGCAGCAAGAAACGAACTGATGACGAGAAGAAGAAGAAAAAAGAAAAGAAGGAGAAGGAAGAAAGGCATATCGAAGAAGAGGACAAAGAGCAGAAGGAACAAATTGATCGGGATATCAACAGTAACGTCGTCGAAGCACAAGCTGATCAAGGTTTTGATGAACCATCATCTTCACATGTCGATAGCCCGAAGAGTGAGCATAAATAGTTTTTATTATCCCATGGTTGATATTTGCAAAACAATCAGTCTTCATTCATTCTTTTTCTACGAAGTTCTATGATCGTATAAAGCTGATTTATTGAATAAAACAAGAAAATAAAATGTCGTAGCAGAAAATGCTCTAAATTGAAGTAAAATATTTTCAGCTACTGGAAATGCCCTTTCCCCAGCAAAAACCGACGATAGCGGTGTTGGTGACATGACTGAAAGTCCTCGTCCACCAGTTCTTGAAAGGTAATTACTTTGCGTCAGCGAAATAGCTTGATTTTTGATTAAATATGTACTCCTCGGATTGTATACGACTCTGTCTAGTTCGTTATGAAATTCCCAGCTTTTAATCTTTTATGAACGATATCTTCAATAGGCCGATGACCGCTGCCTTAGCTAGGCCTCAAACGTCAATGGGTCGTCCTGGAACAGCTGCTGCCAGGCCAGCACCTCCGAAATTGAAAAGGAAGCAAATAGCAACTGTTGAAGAGACGAGCACTGCGGTGAGAATTTTATAAATTGCGAGCTGCCTGACTGCAAATCTTTCGAAGGTTCCAGAAGTTGAGATCTGTTTAATGATCCATAATTTTAAGCCCGTGCAAACAGCTGCAGAAGTGATTACTGAAGCTGAGCCACCTGCACCTGAAGAGACATTCCTTGTGGAAGAAGAGGAAGTGGAAGAAGTTGTGCCAAACACATTTAAAGTCACAGAAGCCGAGCTGGTGAGTGCACAAAAACTATCTTCCAGCTGCGCACCTGCAGATTAAAGAAAAAATTTCCAGCCCAATGACGAAAGAGGAGGTCTAGTGCAGAAGATGATAGACACAACAGCAGGGTTTGATGATGGGGGTCAGGAAATTGGTGCTGATGTTGACCAAGGAGAATTTGCTCGAGAAAAGCTCAAGGCATATGCTATCATTTTCGAAAGTCATGCTCTGCATAATTCAGAATTTTTAGGCGGATGCACTACTAAATTCTTTACAAATGGTGACAAGGACAACACATCCATTATCTAGAATATTCGACTTTGCACAGGTTGAAGAATGA